AACCCCTCCCATACCCTCCCCCTCCTCGCGCTACACACTTCGGGGTGCTGCCTTTGGCAGCACACTTCATCATTGGGCTTACACATTGATAACCGGTTTGTTACGCCCCTGCTTGCTGTTTTATGTAAACAATCGAGAATGAAAGTAGAAACGTGAAATAGACCGGAGAGTTCTGATTGATTCTGTCCAACTGCTTAAGTCAATATTGTTGTTTGCCGATATTGATGAAATATCGAACACACTTGGACCGATCTATAAGCAGAGCTAAAAATGCACATTTTCGGAGAATAAAAAACAATGTATCAAGAATCTTATGCCCTTCTCTCACGCGTCCACTGAATTACATCTACACGTGCCGAATTTTCCTGAGGTCAGCCTCGGTTCAGATCTGTACCTGTCGTTTTCTTTATAGGTTAACCGTTTCAACCGGATACGCGAATGTACCCTTAGAAACTTGATGTAACTCTACCGGAAGTATTGCATCTAGTTTTGGTATATTCCCACATGCAAATAAAGTTAATTTTTGCATTTGTATGATGTTTCATGACTAAATAAATGCGACTTGGACAAACAATTTGAAAAAGTTAAGCTTAAAGTGATTTTGGCTATTTTTAGTTGCGTATTATACGTAAGTTGGTGGTTTTCCCCGACCTGTAAAGTGTAAGTGGTTTAAACATTGCTGTAGGACCACGTTGTAAGCAATATTCTTAAATGAAAATCTTGACATTTGAAATTAAGTATATGAAGCGGAACTGGTAATGTGCAAATCTTGTATTTTAGGCAAGTATGGTTGGAGAAAGCAAAGTTTACCTTGGATGGTACGATTGGGCACCCCTATGGCACTACATTTGAGGTGAAAAATGGAAAGATGATAAAAGTGGAGAAATCAATACTGCCAGAAAAGGAAGCGTTGGCTGAAGGTAAAAATAAGCACGGGAAAAATGTCTAATACAAGTGTTTCTATAAAAAAAAATGAACATTATGATAATTGAAATTCATTATTTAATATATATATATATACAGATTCAGAAATGAAGGATTTATTTAATAAATATCAGAAGGCATTTTAGGCAAAACTTAGCTACACTGCTCTCATTACTTGTTGGTCAGTAGCTATAGGGATAGCTGGACAGCTGAAGAGAAATGGCTACTAGTATTTGATAAAAATAACACAAATGTTTTAGGTGGTAAAGACAACAGAGATCTTCTCGACCAAGATAGTAATCAAAAACTGACACGGGATGACATAGAGAAGATGAAGAAGGATGGGATCAAAGGAAAGGTAATTATTCCTCAAAGTAAAAGATAAAAGATATGGTATTAACAATTACTTGTTTTCAATGGTAAGACTCTTTCTGGCATATGTATTTTTCCAGTTTAGTTGATATAGTTGATATAGTAGTCGACACCAATGGAAAGCTTCAGGTAGTTTCTTGCGGCACATTTTAATGTTCCTATACTAATACTTGACTTCCGGTGCATATTGATATAAAGGAATTTAAATCCATTAATCTTACAGTTAAAAGGTGAGTAAAGATATTAAATGGTCTAACAGGATCTTGCTAATAGCAGGAGGCATTGATCAGGCCAGCACTTGTTGAGTCTCTGTTTAAAACTATTTACGCTAGGGGCATTTACCACATGGTTTGACAGACTATTCCAGGACTCCACAACCCTGTTGCTGTTACTGCTTACTTGTCTGTTGGTTCTCTTTTTAAACAGCTTTTCGTTGTTCCGTCTTGTTCTGGAATCCTGGGTTTTAGTGAACATTTTGCTGAGATCTACAATGTCTATTTCCCTCTAGGATCTTGTATGTTTGGATCAGGTCAGCTCGATGTCTTCTGTACTCTAAAGTAGGTAATCCTAGATGGCGCAGTCTCTCTGAGTAGGGTTTGTTTGCTAGACAGGGAATTAAACGAGTTGCCCTCCTTTGTACATTTTCCAGTAGTTTGATGTCTTTTAGCAAATATGGTGACCAAACAACACTTGCATATTCAAGGTGTGGGCCGACGAGAGATTTGTACAGTGTTAAAAACATATTTTTGTCAATAAATGTAAAAGTTCCAAAGATGAGACCTAGGTTCCTGTTGGCTTTTGCTACAGAGGTTGATATGTGATTTTCAAATTTTGCCTTGCTGTCTACAATAACTCCGAGGTCTTTTTCACTGTCTACTGTACATATATTATGTATCTGATCATCCTGCTTGATAGTGTACTGGTGAATGTCCAATTTTGAGATATTTGCATTTGTCCATGTTTAGTTTCATGGGCCATGTGGCAGCTCCAATCACAGATTGAGTGAAGGTCTGACTGGAGATGACCTGTATCCTCTCTGCTGTTAATTGTTCTGTAGATTTTTGAATCATCTGCGAAAAGTTTTGTAGTACTGGAAATGTTATCTGGGAAGTCGTTGATATATATATTAGGAAGAGTATCGGTCCTGACACACTCCCCTGTGGGACCCCGCTTGTGACGTTTAGTGAACCTGACTCTGAACCATTCACTACTACTTTTTGTTTGAGGTTCTTCAAAAAGTCTTCTATCCAGTCGAGGGTTTCGCCTTCCACACTGAAACTTGAAAGTTCATGAAGTAGCCTTCTATGAGACACTTTGTCAAAGACTTTGCTGTAGTCTAGGTACACTACATCAGTTGTCTCCCCTTTGTCTAGCCCTACCATGATTCTAGTAGTTGGGTTGTACATGATCTAACGGGTCTAAAGCTGTGTTGGCAGTTTGTAAGGAAGCTGTTTGTTTCGAGTGGTTTATCCCTGATGATTCATTGTAGAATTTTGCTGGCCACTGCAGTTAAGACTAATTGGATGATAATTGTTAGGTTTCTTTTTTGAGCCACTTTTATGGATAGGTGTTACAGGCCTCCTTCCAGGCATTAGGTAATTTTCCTTCTTGGAGAGGTTTTTTAAACAGTTGTGATAATGTTTTTTTAATTTCTGATACTGCCTCAACGTATTGTTTTGGATGTAGACCGTCGGGCCCAGGGCTTTTGTTGGGATTGACCTTTTATATTGCTTTTTGTACAAGCTCTTCAGTTATTTCAATCCTGTTCAGTGTTGTGTTTGGTGTTTTCATAGTAACATTTGGGAGTTCTCCCGTCACGTCTTCAACAAAAACTTCTTTGTCAGATTGTGTATGTTCACTATTAGTTATTTCAAGCCTGTTATGGTTGATTTTGTTTTCCTTTTTGATTTCACGTACTTCCAGAATTTCTTTGGATTGGTTTTATTCTCATCAGTCAGTTTGTGTTCGTGTACATAGTTTGGTCGCCTGATGACAGCTGTTGACTCGTTTCTTGCTTGCTTGAATTGGTTGAAGTTTTCAGCAGTCTTACAATGGAGGTATTTTTTCCATTTTTTATGTTTGCTGTGGATTGATTCAATGGTCGAGTGGTCTCTTAGAGTTACCTCGGAATTGCTTGTTCTCTGGTACATGTTTCTTTCAAATATTTGATAGGTTATCAACAAAACAGTTCCAAGCTTCCTGTGAGTTTAGGCCTGTTATAGATTATACTTTTATTAGTTGACTATTTAAACATGCACATAGTGAAGCGTTTTTTATTTGTACTACTCAGGAAATTATTGATCAGCTTATAGAGAACAGTTCAACATTTCAATCAAAGACAGTATTTGCACAAGCCAAGTGGATCAAGAAAAAGAAAATTAAGTAAGTAGACAATCACAACCACTTTTATAAGGCCCAAATGCCTTTATTAATTTAGTTTACAATATCCACACTTCTTTGTAATATTTTATGGGAGAGTATCAACTTATTGTTGATGCTGTCAAAAGTTTTAAAGCAGGGTCAGTATTCATGAAATTGCTCTCATGCTCAGACTCAGATTCTGTGCTCAAGTCCAAGTTCTTGTTCAGGTAATAAGTGAAGACAAAATGAATATTTTGTCAATGATTAAGAAGAATTTTGGAGATACTTAAAGCTGAAGACTGTTTACACTTGAATTTTTAATTGTTTGACATGATTTAATCAAGTTAGAAGAAAGCTGGTTCGAGCACGACACCCATGCTTGAGCGTGAGAACAATTTTATGAATATGGGCCCAGGACTATAAAATGACAGTCATAACAGGCAGGAACACTACTACAAAATTGTTTTAAGGATAATGATATCTTCCTATAGCCATCCATATACTGAGGCTATATCGAGGCAAAATAATGGTATAAGCTGCATTAGAATTATTTGACTGACACGAGTCCTTGATCAGCCATTGGTGTTGCATTTTTTGGGGATCATAAACTCGTCCCCTCATGTATAAATAGTTTCAGATTACTTCACCATCTCTACTGATACTTATAGGAATCAATTAAAAAAGCCCTTGATCACCAGTCTTTTCTTTGCATATAAGTGGCCCAAAATAATCCAAATGGTTACTAGTCGTATGTGTATGCATCACTATTTAAATTATTTAATGTTGTTGGCCCTTATGGAAAGAAACCTGGAGTACTTTGAGAAAAAACAAATGAATGGGCAGCTGCAGATGATCTTATCCAATTGGGAAATCAAACATTTGTGGTTTGAGTGAAAGGCGAGTGTGCCACCTGACCACACTAGTACAACTGACAGTGATGGGATGTCTGCACTGTCTGGTGTCTGTGTCAGACATCTTGTGTGTGCCACCTGACCACACTAGTACAACTGACAGTGATGGGATGTCTGCACTGTCTGGTGACTGTGTCTGTAGCAGACATCTTGTGTATCATGTATCAGTCTAATTCAGAGTTAGTTATTTATAAATCAATATTGTTATGATTTCAAATTTATTTTTCTAGACATCTTCTTGAGTTTACAATTCTTAAGCCATCAGCCAGATTACTATGTGAGATGCATCACACCAAGAACCCTTCTAGAATATGGTAAGTAAGTAAGAAAATATCAAATAGATCTAGAATATGATAAGTAAGTAATGAAACATCAGCTAGATCTGTAGTAAGATAAACTTCCCTCTAACACCAGAAAATAACATACATTATATATACATTTGTATATATTAAGATTGACTTGATCACATTCAGAAAACTATTTTCAGTCCACAAATTTGTGTGGAAGTTACTTTTATATCATTGGTTGATGTATGTTGTTTTACCTGTTACAGCTTCATGCGAGTGGACAGCCTGGCCCAAATCCTCAGCAGAGGCAATGTACGGGCACACTCCACTGTGGCTGTAGTGGACACATGTATGGGGCTAGTGGTGGGGGCAGTCATGGAGAGACTAGGGGGTAAGTATGGACTGTGGTGGACACGTGTATGGGGCGCGTGGTAGGGCAGTCATGGAGAGACTAGGGGGTAAGTATGGACTGTGGTGGACACGTGTATGGGGCGCGTGGTAGGGCAGTCATGGAGAGACTAGGGGGTAAGTATGGACTGTGGTGGACACGTGTATGGGGCTAGTGGTGGGGGCAGTCATGGAGAGACTAGGGGGTAAGTATGGACTGTGGTGGACACGTGTATGGGGCTAGTGGTGGGGGCAGTCATGGAGAGACTAGGGGGTAAGTATGGACTGTGGTGGACACGTGTATGGGGCTAGTGGTGGGGGCAGTCATGGAGAGACTAGGGGGTAAGTATGGACTGTGGTGGACACGTGTATGGGGCTAGTGGTGGGGGCAGTCATGGAGAGACTAGGGGGTAAGTATGGACTGTGGTGGACACGTGTATGGGGCTAGTGGTGGGGGCAGTCATGGAGAGACTAGGGGGTAAGTATGGACTGTGGTGGACACGTGTATGGGGCTAGTGGTGGGGGCAGTCATGGAGAGACTAGGGGGTAAGTATGGACTGTGGTGGACACGTGTATGGGGCTAGTGGTGGGGGCAGTCATGGAGAGACTAGGGGGTAAGTATGGACTGTGGTGGACACGTGTATGGGGCTAGTGGTGGGGGCAGTCATGGAGAGACTAGGGGGTAAGTATGGACTGTGGTGGACACGTGTATGGGGCTAGTGGTGGGGGCAGTCATGGAGAGACTAGGGGGTAAGTATGGACTGTGGTGGACACGTGTATGGGGCTAGTGGTGGGGGCAGTCATGGAGAGACTAGGGGGTAAGTATGGACTGTGGTGGACACGTGTATGGGGCTAGTGGTGGGGGCAGTCATGGAGAGACTAGGGGGTAAGTATGGACTGTGGTGGACACGTGTATGGGGCTAGTGGTGGGGGCAGTCATGGAGAGACTAGGGGGTAAGTATGGACTGTGGTGGACACGTGTATGGGGCTAGTGGTGGGGGCAGTCATGGAGAGACTAGGGGGTAAGTATGGACTGTGGTGGACACGTGTATGGGGCTAGTGGTGGGGGCAGTCATGGAGAGACTAGGGGGTAAGTATGGACTGTGGTGGACACGTGTATGGGGCTAGTGGTGGGGGCAGTCATGGAGAGACTAGGGGGTAAGTATGGACTGTGGTGGACACGTGTATGGGGCTAGTGGTGGGGGCAGTCATGGAGAGACTAGGGGGTAAGTATGGACTGTGGTGGACACGTGTATGGGGCTAGTGGTGGGGGCAGTCATGGAGAGACTAGGGGGTAAGTATGGACTGTGGTGGACACGTGTATGGGGCTAGTGGTGGGGGCAGTCATGGAGAGACTAGGGGGTAAGTATGGACTGTGGTGGACACGTGTATGGGGCTAGTGGTGGGGGCAGTCATGGAGAGACTAGGGGGTAAGTATGGACTGTGGTGGACACGTGTATGGGGCTAGTGGTGGGGGCAGTCATGGAGAGACTAGGGGGTAAGTATGGACTGTGGTGGACACGTGTATGGGGCTAGTGGTGGGGGCAGTCATGGAGAGACTAGGGGGTAAGTATGGACTGTGGTGGACACGTGTATGGGGCTAGTGGTGGGGGCAGTCATGGAGAGACTAGGGGGTAAGTATGGACTGTGGTGGACACGTGTATGGGGCTAGTGGTGGGGGCAGTCATGGAGAGACTAGGGGGTAAGTATGGACTGTGGTGGACACGTGTATGGGGCTAGTGGTGGGGGCAGTCATGGAGAGACTAGGGGGTAAGTATGGACTGTGGTGGACACGTGTATGGGGCTAGTGGTGGGGGCAGTCATGGAGAGACTAGGGGGTAAGTATGGACTGTGGTGGACACGTGTATGGGGCTAGTGGTGGGGGCAGTCATGGAGAGACTAGGGGGTAAGTATGGACTGTGGTGGACACGTGTATGGGGCTAGTGGTGGGGGCAGTCATGGAGAGACTAGGGGGTAAGTATGGACTGTGGTGGACACGTGTATGGGGCTAGTGGTGGGGGCAGTCATGGAGAGACTAGGGGGTAAGTATGGACTGTGGTGGACACGTGTATGGGGCTAGTGGTGGGGGCAGTCATGGAGAGACTAGGGGGTAAGTATGGACTGTGGTGGACACGTGTATGGGGCTAGTGGTGGGGGCAGTCATGGAGAGACTAGGGGGTAAGTATGGACTGTGGTGGACACGTGTATGGGGCTAGTGGTGGGGGCAGTCATGGAGAGACTAGGGGGTAAGTATGGACTGTGGTGGACACGTGTATGGGGCTAGTGGTGGGGGCAGTCATGGAGAGACTAGGGGGTAAGTATGGACTGTGGTGGACACATGTATGGGGCTAGTGGTGGGGGCAGTCATGGAGAGACTAGGGGGTAAGTATGGACTGTGGTGGACACGTGTATGGGGCTAGTGGTTGGGGCAGTCATGGAGAGACTAGGGGGTAAGTATGGACTGTGGTGGACACATGTATGGGGTTCTTAGTGGGGGCAGTCATGGAGAGACTAGGGTGTAAGTATGGATGCGGTGGGCACATTATGGGGTTAGTAGTGGGGGCAGTCATGGAGAGACTAGGGGGTAAGTGTGGACTGTGGTAGAAACGTGTATGGGGTTAGTAGTGGGGGCAGTCATGGAGAGACTAGGGGGTAAGGATGGACTGTGGTGGACACGTGTATGGGGCTAGTGGGGGGGGCAGTCATGGAGAGACTAGGGGGTAAGTGTGGAATGTGGTGGACACGTGTATGGGGCTTGTGGTGGGGGCAGTCATGGAGAGACTAGGGTGTAAGTATGGACTGCGGTGGACACATTATGGGGTTAGTAGTGGGGGCAGTCATGGAGGTGGACACGTGTATGGGGCTAGTGGTGGGGGGAGTCATGGAGAGACTAGGGGGTAAGTGTGGACTGTGGTAGAAACGTGTAGGGGGTTAGTAGTGGGGGCAGTCATGGAGAGACTAGGGGGTAAGTATGGACTGTGGTGGACACGTGTACGGGGCTAATGGTGGGGGCAGTCATGGAGTGACTAGAGCATAAGTATGGACTGTGGTGGACCCGTGTATGGGGTTAGTAGTGGGGGCAGTCAAGGAGAGACTAGGGGGTAAGTATGGACTGTGGTGGACATGTGTATGGTGCTAGTGGTGCGGGCAGTCATGGAGAGACTAGGCTGTAAATATTGACTGTTGTGGACACATTTATGGGGCTAGTAGTTAGGGTGGTCATGGAGAGACTAAGGGGTAAGTATGGACTGTGGTGGATACATGTATGGGGTTAGTGGTGGGGATAGTCATGGAGAGACTAGGGGGTAAATATTGACTGTTGCGGACACATGTATGGGGCTAGTAGCTGGGGTGGTCATGGAGAGACTAGGGGGTAAGTAGTGGTACTAGTGGAGTTATGTCTGTGGTGGACACCTGTACGGGTCAGTGGTAGGGGGGGGGGTCAGCATGGAGGAACTTTGGTATAAATACTAGAAGTGGTAATAAATGATTAATGGATTGTAGGATGCGTGTTGGTTTATGTAAAAAGAAAATTTTAAATATACTCTTGCTATGTGTTTCTCATTAGGGCCCCGTATCGGAGATACGGGTGTCCTATAGTAATCACTCTGTCTGTCTGTCTGTATGTCTGTCCGTCCGTCCACAAATTCTGTTCCTGGCTGATAACTTTGGTATTTATAGACCGATGTACATGAAACTTAGTCAAGATGTTCAGTTCACAAAAACACACATTGAGGTTAAAAGTCAAGGTCATTAGGTTCAAAGGTCAAGGTCAAATTTTACATCTTTTCACTGATGAACATTTTGTTATAACATTATGAAGCAAAGTTGATCAGAATAAAACAAGGAGTCAACTGACAAACGGTCAAGGTCATCGGGTCAGGCTTCAAGGTCAAATTTTGTAGCTTTTCACTGGTGAACATTTCGCTATGACATTATGAAGCAAAGTTATTCGGAATTAAACAAAGAGACACACTGAGGTAAAAAGTCGAGGTCAAAGGTCAAGGTAATTAGATTCAAAGGTCAAGGTCAAATTTGCATCTTTTCACTGATGAACATTTTGTTATGACATGATGAAGCAAAATTGATCAGAATTAAACAAGGAGTCAACTGACCAAAGGTCAAGGTCATTGGGTCAAAGGTCAAGGTTAAACTTTGAACCTTTTCCCTGATGAATATTTTTTTATGATATTATGAAGCAATATAGTTCAGAACTTAACACAGAGTCAACTGACCTTAGGTTCAGGTTACGGGGTCCAAAGGGTCAAGGTCAAGTTTTGTATTTTTCACTGATGAACATTTTGTTATGATATCAAGAAGCAAAGTTGGTCGGAATTAAAGAATAAGTCAACTGACCAAAGTTCAGGGTCACTGGGTTAATGGTCAAGGTCATTTGGGTCCAAAGGTCAAAGACAAAGTGGATCTCTGACTTTGACCCTGGCTCTTGATGGAGGAGGTATATAAGGTGAAATAAAACAAATCAAAGCTAACAAATTAGTATTGTACCGGTATTTACATTTCTGTTAGCCCAGCAAATATGGAGGTGGAAGGAAACAAGACTCACATCATAGTACATGTAAAATGTATATTTTGCTTCCTTGCGATTCTTTTTGAAGTCCAAATATCAGACGTCAAGCTAAGCTATATGGGCAGATTGCTTCTTGATGATTATGGGGGATACATTGCCACAAGATGGGGCCCTTACTGACCTGTCAGTGTTCTAGTTACATTAGTAGGCTAGATACAGTGGCCAGCTCAGCCTGTATCAAAAGCAGTCATGGCTTTTGTGACCGACTGCTTTTAAATTTGAAATAAACTTCTAAGATGATATGTGTTTCAGGTTTTGGAAAAGTTATTCACTTCCACCAGGGAATTACACCAGTCAGGTAACTACTGCTGTTAATATAGACTGTAGGAAATATGAGTGACCATATTAAACAAGCTTGTTTTACCTTAGTATAAAGCATTTTTGCAAACTAAAATTATTCCAATATCAGAAATATGTCTTATTATTAAGTTGCTCAACAAACATCAATTTGATTTGATCAGTGATTTAAATTGAAATCTGAATTTAGATTAACTCACCATTACCATCTCTTCATAAGGTTATTCCTCCTGGTACCCGATACTCGTAAAATAAGATTAAATGTTTTTTTTTGTTTTTTTTAACAAATTTAATATAATATCTACGAATTGTTTTTGCAATTGCTGCCAACAGACCTGCAATGGACTCGTTTGACTTCCCTGCAGAAATTCTGAACAATTTGTACAGTTATCCTCTAGATCGTGTCAATAGTATTGAGAGTGATCAAACAAAACCAGACATTTCTAGTGGAACAAAAAGTAGCAATGGTGCAGCTTGTGTAGAGAAATCACCAGGGGAGATAAGCTCACAAAGCTTCACAGAAAAGTTGGAAGACGTATCAACACCATCTCAAGAAACAGGTGAGGACACAAGCGCACAAGGTGACACAGCAAAATCTGTAGATATGTCAACACCATCTCAGGAAACTACATCAAACGTGGAAAATACAGAGGATGGTGCAGATGACATCAATTCTCAGGAAATCCCGGGATGCTCGGAGAATATGGAGATTGAGGAAGAGGATAAACCAGTCAAAACTGATATGGAACAAAGGAAGAGAAAGGTATTATTATACCCCTGTTAATTATCAAAGGGGAATGATATTGTAATGGCACTTGTCCATCCATACCACTTCCATTTCTACTCAATATCTTGGGATTTAGTTTCCTGAATCTACTCGAAATTAATACAGTGTCTCATATTGAGAAGTGTTTCTATGGGTTGGCTTTCGAGGTCCAAAGATCAAAGGCCAAGGTCATTGTTACTATAAATAGAAATTTTGTTTTCCGCACAATAGCTTAAGGTCTTGAAGACAAATAACTCTAACTTCATACACTGCTTCCTTTAATGTCAAAAATGCTCGCTGAGGATTGCTTTTCAGGTTTGAATGTCAAAGCTCAAGGTCAATATTATTTTAATACATATAATACATTCTGCATCAGTATCAAAAACTCTGCTTTGTCACCCCTTAACTCTGATAAGGAGGTTAGGAATTAGTATTGTTCCTTGATATTGTGTTACTTTGTTGTTGTTTTATAAAGATAGTCATCGACACATTTTGTTGTATAAAGACATTCATTGACACGTTTTGTTGTGTAAAGACATTCATTGACACGTTTTGTTGTATAAAGACATTCATTGACACGTTTTGATGTATAAAGTCATTCATTGACACGTTTTGTTGTATAAAGACATTCATTGACACGTTTTGTTGTATGAAGATCTTCATTGACACGTTTTGTTGTATGAAGATCTTCATTGGCACAATCTTCAACTTAAAATAGCTCAACTGAATGATTTTTTCATTATCAGCTACTTTTGTAAATATTTCATCAGTTTAGGGTATGAGAATAGGTTTGGCAATAGAATCTTGATTTTAAATGATTTTCCACTTCAGATATATAGGAACCATTTCTGCAAAGTTTCATTTTAGAAGTGGTGCCATCTTAGTAGTGTATAAAAGTAACAGCTATTACATTAATTGTCTACTTATTCTATGCTTTCTTCTAATGAAAGGTTATACATTATGTTTTAAGATGTTAGAAAGCTATGTTCATTTATACTGATGAAAGGTCACATGTCGATTTTATGGTGCTAAAGTAGGATAGGTTTGTACAAGTGTAGGGAATGGACTAACTGTTGGTCATTATGTTTGGAACAGGAACCACCAACTGGTCGATATGAGAGCTAGTTATCTCCTGTACTGCAACTAATTTGTTGATTTACATTTAATTGCTGTTGGTATTCATTTCAGGGCATAGATAGAGAGACAAATCGACAGCTACGGGAGCAGAAGATACAAGAAGCCAGAGATGTAATACTCGAGAAAAACATTGACTGGTAATAACTCCGATCTAATTAGACTTTGCTAAAATATGTGTAAATTAACAGAACTGAAATGTGTGAATTTACCTGCAGTTTTTAGGTCACCTGAGACAAAGTCTCAAGTAACCTATTGCGATCTCCTTACTGTTACTATTTTTAGAAAAACTTTGTCATCGCTCTACCGACTTCATTCCTCAACAGAATCTCATGAAACTTGATACTAGTATTTAGTATGACAATACCTTGAACAAGTTTGTGTTTCAGGTAACTTGGTTAAAGGTCAAGGTCACTATTACTATTTTTTATAAAAACTTTGTCATCTCTCTATCGACTTCATTCCTCAATGGAATTTAATAAAATTTCATACAAGTCTTTCTTATGGCAATTCCTTGAACAAGTTTTTGTTTTGGATTTCTATGTTGAAGGTCAAGGTCACTGTTTCTATTATCAGATTTTTTTTTGTCATTGAACTAGTGACTTCGTTTCCTTTTATATATGTCACAAAGTGTGAATGCTAGGGGATTTGTATCACTTGTGATGCCTTGTTACCTCTATATTACATTTATATACCTGTACATTACCTGTACATTACCTGACATTGTACATTACCTGACATTGTACATTATTGACATTGTACATTATTGACATTGTACATTACTGACATTGTACATTACCTGATATTTTACATTACCTGACATTGTACATTATCTGTATATTACCTGATATTGTACATAGCCTGATATTTTACATTAACTGACATTGTACATTATTTGTATATTACCTGATATTGTACATTATCTGTATATTACCTGATATTTTACATTACCTGACATTGTACATTACCTGATATTGTACATTACTGACATTGTACATTACCCGACATTTTACATTACCTGACATTGTTCATTACCCGTACATTACCTGACAATTTACATAACTTGTACATTACCCGACTTTGTAAATTATCTATACATTTACCTGACATTGTACATTACCTGTACATTACCTGACATTATATGTACATTACCTGACATTTTACAATGCCTGACATTTTACAATATTTGACATTACCTGTACATTACCTGGCATTGTACATTACCAGTCATTGTACATTACCTGACATTTTACATTACCTGACATTTTACATTACCTGCCATTGTACATTAGTGGTATGTAAGTTCCACTTGACATTTTAGATTACCTGTACATTACCTGTACATTACCTGTACACACCTCTGATGTACCTAGTACATTATCTGTGCTTGGTTTTCAGTTTGATCGTGGTATGTAAGTTCCACCCAACACCTACTTGTACATTACCTGTACATTCCCTGACATTTTACATTACCTGTCATTGTACATTCCCCGACATTTTACATTACCCGACATTTTACATTACCTGACATTTTACAATCCCTGCCATTGTACATTACCTGACATTTTACATTACTTGACATTTTAGATTACCTGTACATTTCCTGTACATTACCTGTACACACCTGATGTACCTAGTACATTATCTGTGCTTGGTTTTCGGTTTGATCGTGGCATGTAAGTTCAACCCAACACCTACTTGTACATTACCTGTACATTACCTGACATTTTACATTACCTGTCATTGTACATTACCCGACATTTACATTACCCGACATTTTACATTACCTGACATTTTACAATACCTGCCATTGTACATTACCTGACATTTTACATTACTTGACATTTAAGATTACCTGTACACACCTCTGATGTACCTAGTCCATTATCTGTGCTTGGTTTTCAGTTTGTTTGTGGCATGTAAGTTCAACCCAACACCTACTTGTACATTACCTGTACATTACCTGACATTTTAGATTACTTGACATTGTACATTACCTGTACATTATCTGTACACACCTGATGTACCTAGTACATTATCTGTGCTTGGTTTTCAGTTTGATCGTGGCATGTAAGTTCCACCCAACACCTATTGTGCTGGCCTTACTGAAGTATGTGGCTCCCTCTCGCCCCATTGTCGTGTTTGGACAGTATAAAGAGGTAAGTACATATATTGCTTTCCTTTTCACGTCGCACCTTTACTTTCCTCTGCAGTTTTGAAACATTTGTAAACCAATAATCCTTCCACAACTACTAAGGGTTCCTCAATCCTGAGTTATTGGTTAAACAGATCATGTGATCCTCTGGTGGGTAACAGGTTTGTTTTGTTGGTTAGTAATATTGATCAGGCCATGCCTTTTATTTGATCTTTCACTGTACAGAAAATGCAATGTCACAAAGTTTTAATACATCATACCCCATGTAGTTGTTATTGTGGTGACATCTTTTTCTGTAAGATCTCCTGAGTTTGCAATGGGGATCGTGTGTAACTAGATTAGACACTATAGGAGAATATTTTGAAAAAACTTGGTGAAAGTTTTTAAAATTGATACGATAAGTTATGATAAAAATGATGAAATAACATCATTTGTTAGGAATACTGATGATTAGCATTGACTGTTAAAATGTGTGTAGTAGGGTCAATCACACACTACTGTTGATGTTCAGGACTTAAAGACTTGAAATATTTCACACAGCTCAATGAACATAGAAGAACTTCACAAATTTGAGGTGTGCATGTTTTCATAACACTCAAAGTCAAGTTATGCATACAGGTTTGAAGTAGTGAAAAGGACAAGTTATGCATACAGGTTTTAAGTAGTGAAAAAGTCATAAAGTTATGCATACAGGTTTTAAGTAGAGAAACTGTGGTCATGTGAAACTAGACCTTCGATAACATTTGGTTGACATATATGTAGGACCCTGACTACCTATGATTACTTTTATTTTATATAGTACATGTACTTGAATTTCAGCCTATCCTGGACTGCTATGAGTACCTGAGGAAGGATGGGGGGATGGTCAACTACCGTGTCTCGGAGGCCTGGCTGAGAGAGTACCAGGTAGGCATACATAAAGACTAGCTAGAGAGTACAGATGTTACAGTAATTTACCTTAAAAGTTTTGTTATAGAAGGTAGTTTGACATATGATATACACTTGATGATCTAAATGCTACATTGCAATGATATATACCTCCTTCACAAAGAATTCGTAATTCAGAAACCCGTCTATAAGGAACACTACTTTGGATTTGTTCCATCAACCCATTCTCCCCTAAAGTCACATTTGAACCATACCAAATCAAAGACTGGTCAAGTCCAGTTAAATATGTAGGGGTGCATGAGTTGAGTGATGACAATCTGTCAGAATACAGACATTGACACCACCTTGATGATTCTTAAATCATGAAAGGTCATTCAAGGGGGATAACTTCTGCATATTAACTGTTTCGGGTGGGATGTATCCTTGTTGTATTCTTGTATTGTGATATGAACCTGTTCCATTAAGCAACAGAAGTTTCTCACCACCATGAATTGTTATTTTTCAGGTGATGGAGATGAGGACCCATCCAGTGATCTCTATGAGTGGAGGGGGAGGTTATCTACTGACCGCCACAACTGTAGCTAAATCTGATACTCCAAAATGATGACCACGCATAAACCCCGAAATGATGACCACGCATAAACCCCAAAATGATGATCACACATCTGCGGGGTTGACTTTTAATTAACCAAACACAGCTGTAGATAATCACCACGCCATACAGTGGCTAATGTCCTTGTGGACTACAATGCCACTCAGTGGCTAATGTCCTTGTGGACTACCAAGCCACTCAGTGGCTAATGTCCTTGTGGACTACCAAGCCACTCGGTGGCTAATGTCCTTGTGGACTACCATGCCAATCAGTGGCTACTGTTGTTGTGGACCACTTTGCTACTTAGATCCATTGATTTACCGGATTGCTGAAATGCAATGCGATATTGATTTAATGGTTTGGTGATTTTGTTGTCCTATGGAGATTGAAGGCAGCTTGCCCAAAATATTACCCACACTGTGACATAGTTTATTAATGCTTTACAACGGACATTATCTATAGGAAGATACTACAGAAACAAGAATCTAATTAATTTGATGTCCCAAAGAAAATTGCTCACAACCTAATGATTGTTTTTAGAAATTGAACTTTTCATAGACAGTAATCTACTTTAATAAAACGACTCATATTAGGATTTAAATTTACATAGAGAGCAGTAACAAAAATAGATCTCTTTGTTAAGTGTTTCTGAATAAGTATTCCTGAGCTTGTTTTAATTTATAATTGGGTCATTGTGTATAAACTTGAAAATATAAATTGCACAATGTAGTAGTGATTAAATAAATGATACCAGTGAGAGTTTAGCTTTTATTGATTAAAAGTTGTGTCAAATGAATTCGTGGTTATGTATTGAATTATGATTTTGATGAAAAATCAATTTGTACCAATGTCAATAAAAAGAATTTCACAGTTTTGCTTTTTCATTATATCTGGACTAATTGTTAATTATCTGTCTGTCTCTTTGTTTTGTATTGTAATAAGAAAATTTTCTCTAAACACAAACTGGTGACAGAATTAGGATTTGGTTCCGGACAGGGAGCATGAGAAATGTTGAGAGAGGACCTTAACTTTTGGATTAGTTGATGACCTTCACTCTGGTGTTGAGTGATGACCTTCACTCTAATGTTGAGGGATGACCTTCACTCTAGAGTTGAGTGTCAGATGACCTTCACTCTGGTGTTGAGAGGTGACCGTCACTCTGGTGTTGAGTGATGACCTTCACTCTAGTGTTGAGTGATGACCTTCTTTCTAGTGTTGATTGATGACCTTCTTTCTAGTGTTGAGTGATGACCTTCACTCTAGTGTTGAGTGATGACCTTCTTTCTAGTGTTGACCTTCTTTCTAGTATTGATTGATGACCTTCTTTCTAGTGTTGAATGATGACCTTCACTCTAGTGTTGAGTGATGACCTTCTTTCTAGTGTTGATTGATGACATTCACTCTGGTGTTGAGTGATGACATTCACTCTATTGATGAGTGATGACCTTCTTTCTAGTGTTGAGTGATGACCTTCT